TATTATGTGGGGGTGTTTTTGTGACCTTACACAATCTCTCTCTCTCTCTCTCTCTCTCTCTCTCTCTCTCTCTCTCTCATGCACACACACACACGCACACCTGTCATATTTCTATCATGAGTACCACTTTTTCTAAATTATGAAGGCATAATTTTTTTTTGCTTTTAGAACTAATTTGAATATTTTATATATTTTCAATATTTTTGAATGTTCTGTAGACTGAATAAACATTGTTCATGAAATATGCTACAATCTGGCTTTTCTTTGATTACAGCCAAATTCATCACAGGCAAGCTTTTATTTTTTAATTAAATTTCTTAGTCACCCATCTTAGCATACGTGTCTCAGTTGTTCTGGGTCTTTATGTCTGCTGGTCTCTGTTCCAAGTTGTCAGTGTTATTTTTGAATGTATCTGTTTATTTTAAAATGTCACTTTTTAATGGATATATTTCCATTGCAAGCACTGATACTCGTGCTAGAAATATTGACGAAACTAATTTGATTTGTAGTTTATTATTAATTTGCGCAATTTACAGAAGAATGGCCATTGCTGTGAACTCCTGAATAAAAGGTGGGATATGAATGTAATGCATAAATAGTGTGAAAGAGAAAAAATATGATTTGTCCTAATTTTTGGACAGGCAAGACTCCTGGATGGTAAGAGAAAAGGGCAACTGGGGAGGCAGGAGAATGGAGTGTTTTTTCATTTCTCTTCCCTTGCACATTAAAATTTGCTTCAGATTTCTCTTTCTTTGATTCTGTACCTGCTTTGATTCTGTACCTGTTGAAATTCATTCACTATTAAACCTGCAAGAACCTGATCTTCTTTTGTATCTACCTCTCCAGTTTTTAATGCCCTTTGTAATTCCTAGTGATGTAATTATTGCCTTTGGAGATGACATTTTAGCTGTTTCTGAAAACTTTTCTTCATCCTGCAATAAGTACTTCAGATAGTGTTATTGTTGAAATCTCTCAGAGTCTAGAGGTTGCGGGACATCAATGCAACAAATAAGTGAATAAATATATCAATAAATATCTCACAGGTGGGGAGAGGATCTAGCAGAACGGACCTAATTGGAACAGCCTTTTTTCACTGTCATAAAGAACCTGGAGGAAGCTTCTGGAGAACCTACTTGTGTAAGACAGGTGATCATATCTTGGAAATGGTGTTGGAAATGAAGGATGCGGTTGATTGACAAAATCTTAGTATATTTAATTGCTGAAATCCTAATAAAACATACGGAATGCTGAGACCTGCCCCCGGCCTCCAGAATTGAAGGTCATGACCAGTGGTGGTATTTAGCTGGACAGGGATGGGTGATCTCCATCACAGAGGGGGTTCCTACTGGTTCATCCGAATAGGTAGTAACTTGGCGGCCTGAGTCGCTGGAAACGGCAGTGACCCAGGCCTAACACGCCCCTGAACCGATTCCCTGGACACTCACCCCTCCTGGGTCACTCCTCACCTCCTCAGCGGCTTCCCTGCCCAAGCTGCCTAAACTCCCTTGCCTGCCTAAACTGCCACATAGTGCCTAACCTGTGCCCCAACTTAGCTGCCTCCTTCTGCCTATAGGTAAGGCTCACTGCCCCCCCACCCCATCTCGGAGCTTGCTGCGCTTCCCCCACCATCTCCACCGGGTTCACAACCTTATCTTCACCCACCCCTTCCAGGATCCCCACAAGCCCCATTTTGGCTCCCAGTGCCAATGGATCAGTGGTGAGTTCCTACCAGTTCAGCCGAACTGGTAATGGTTTGGTGGCCTGGGTCGCTGGAACCGACAGCAACTCAGGCCTGCCATGCCCCCAAACTGGTTCCCCGGGTGGCGCGGATGGTGCTGCGATCTTGTTTTTCAGTTCTATGCATGTGCAGAACAATTTTAATTGCATTTATGGGCAAATGTGCATGAGCACGGAGCAAAAGTGCACATGCACTAAACCGGCAGTAATGCCGGCAGCAACCCACCCCTGCAATGGATCTGGTCTTCCAATCATTTCCATAGAGTCTATTAATTAAGCATCAATCTAGGTTACTGGAGACCACATTCAAGCCTCACTCCAAAAATGGGAACCATTTGATCATGCTATCTGTTTTGTACTGGATTCCTTTTTTATGACATTACTTGTTCTAATTATTTAGACAATAAACATGGAAACCATGTGGGGACACAGCAACCAAAGCTTCCAAGGAGAATTTATCTTGGTGGGAGTGGCTGACCGGCCACGCTTGGAGATGTTGCTCTTTGCCCTTCTTCTTGTCTGCTACTTGATGAATCTCCTAGGCAACACAACCATCATTGTGGTGTCGAGACTAGATCCCGGGCTCCACACTCCCATGTATTTCTTCCTCAACAACCTTTCCTTCCTTGACATCATCTTCACCACCAGCATTGGGCCCCGCATGCTGGTGACCTTCTGGAGAAAAAGCAAGGCCATCTCTTATGGTGCCTGCGTAACTGAGCTCTGCATCTCCCTTGCTCTGGGCTCTGTGGAGTGCATTTTGTTGACTGTCATGGCCTATGATCGCTATGCCGCTATCAGTCATCCACTGCAGTACACTACCATTATGAGCCCCTCTGTGTGTATCACAATGGCTTCTGTCTCCTGGTTAAGCGGCTTCAGCCATTCACTAATTCAAACAGTGATGACTCTTAGACTTCCGCTGTGTTGGCGAAATCAGTTAGATCATTTCTTTTGTGAGCTTCCTTCCTTTCTTAAATTGCCTTGTGTTGACACTTCCCTCAATGAGGTTTTGTTACTTGCAGGTAGTGTGATGTTCCTCGTAGTACCATTTTGTCTCATCACAATCTCTTATGGCTATATCGCAACTGCAGTGATGAGAATCCAGTCAGCTGAGGGCAGGAAGAGGGCCTTCAACACCTGTTCCTCCCATTTGATAGTGGTCTGGCTCTTGTTCGGCACGGCCATCTTCAGTTATCTGCTGCCTCATTCCAACACCCCTGGTGATCAAGGCAAGATTTTTTCCCTTTTCTATATCTTTTTCACCACCACGTTTAATCCACTGATCTATACTTTGAGGAACAAAGAAGTGCATAAGGCTCTCCAAAGACTATTGATGAAGAAATAAACAAACACATGACTGGAAACTGCATTTGAAGGTTCGACAGGAATAATCTTTGTTAGTTTAGCAATCAGAGGTGAGTTGCTCCCAGTTTAGCCTGGTTGCTCCCGATTCAGCTGAATTGGTAGTGGTGGCGGTGGGAGGCTCCGCCCACCCGCCCAGACGATTCTGCGCATGCACGCAAACAAACCAGTAGTAAACTGGCTAGCAATCCACCACTGCTTGCAATAGTTTTGATTGTGCCTTCCTTTCTCTTTCTCTTTTCATAATAAAATTGTAACATGTTTAGATACCCTAACAGTGCACAAGACTGTACATTAAAGAGCATATAACCCCCAAAACAGACGGGTCAGGACTTTCTTTCTGAAGTGTGTTTATGTTGTTGCTGATAGCACACTTTCATCTTGTGTCAACTCTGTCTCTTCAGGATTTTTTCCCCTGTGAAAAAGGCATCTTCTGAAGTTCTCGCTGTGTTCTTTTAGAGAGAAATTGTCTACTTACTGTCTCATTCAAACAGTAAGACAAAAATACAGCTGTAGACCTTCACATTCCAAAATCGGTGCATCAAAGATATTCCTAGCCTCAGTACAAACTTGATATGGAGGGAAAGAAGCTGCTTCTTCCCAAGACAGAGGAATATTGAAAATACAGTATCTTAGAATGGGATAGAACTATAAGTTGCAGAAGTAATTTAAGTGACTAAAAAGGACAGAGGTTAAATATATAGTATTGTTTTTTCGAAAATGTTTTAGTCTGGCCAGCTTGGTTTTATCATCTTGAGGCCACATAGAGAAGTTTACTGAGTCCCTGAATCAGCAGCAAAGAAAGTGCCGATCTGTGTCTGGTATACAACCCATAATTGTGTTTGTTTGTTTTTAATTGGGTCATGGGTTATCTAGTTCAGTGTTTCTCAACCTTGGGGACTTTAAGTCCCGTGGACTTCAACTCCCAGAATTCCCCAGCCAGCTATGCTGGCTGGGGGATTCTGGGAGTTGAAGTCCACGGGACTTAAAGTCGCGAAGGTTAAGAAACACTGATCTAGTTCAACTCTTACATATATAATTATTATTGTTATGTTATGAAGTTATGTTATTACATTACATTATATCCTAATTGTATATTTTGTATATGAATATTTTTTTTCCAATTTGTAACCTGTACTTTCAACATGCAATGTGACCTGTACTGTCATAGATGGTTTCTCATGAAAATTCTCTCCCTAGAATTTTTTTCTGAGCTAAGGCTTACTATACTACTGTTCTCTTATATCATTCGTTCAGAGAATGTTTTACATGTAAGGTGAAAGGGACATCAGAATTTTTTTTTTAAAGATGAAAATAAGAACGTAAGAGAGAAAAGGGGGAGACAGAATTTGCAAGGGAAAGCAAGATGTTCCTCAAAGAGCAAAAGGTTGGCAACATTTAAAGGAAGAAGTGAGAAAAAGATAAATGGAGAAGACATTAGGGGAAATTCACATGAATGGCTGCCTTTTGATGAGAAGAATCAAATAAGGTGGGAACACATGCCCTAACATAAATAATGCCATAAAGAAATCAGCAGGTGGTAGACTTAATCAAAAGCTTGCTGATTTTTTTTATTACATTATTAATGGTTGTCAGGCCTGCAGCCATGTTCCTTTTGGATCTTTGGCCTGCCACACTTCTTTCTACTATGCTGTTTCATTAGTGGGGAGTTGTGAGGGGGGATAGTAAGGTGTAGAATGTGATGCAGCGAAAATAAAATTCCTTTCTAGATTGCCAAGGTCATCTTTTGTCTCAGCACCTCTGCACCTGACTGGAACTGGATGGGTGGAACTGCCAGCATGGCAGTGGAAGATTGGACCATGTGATGGACTTGTGGGCATGGGGGCAAGATCATGAACTTTAACTTTGAGGGGGAAACGGAAGAAGCTTCAGATTCAGGTTTTCCCTCAGATCTGCCAGGATGGCTCTCTTAATAAATTGGAACTTTGAGCTGTATGTTGCCTTGGACTCTAATTTAATTTTGGAGGTTATCTGGAACGCTGACAATGGTACTCTAAATCAAACTATAGCTTCACAAAAGCAGAGTTGATTTTGTTAGGTTTTAACATCCAAACAGGTTACATGTTTTATTGGTGATTCAACTTTGTTCTATGACTATATTGAGGATTTGATTTATTTCATTCCCTTTGTACTACCTTAGTCTCTTAATCAAGGTAGAAAGATTTGTAAGAAGAAACGTATCTTGTTCAATCCTGTACAAAGAATTCTGTTCAAATATCTGGATAGCAAAAACATTTTTACTATATTCTCCTCTCACATAGTAATTCACTGAGGATTGAAGAGCTAAAAGATATAGTTAGCTATGACCAAGTTTAACTATATTTCCGGATCACAGATTCATGTCGCAAGCTATATTTGCTGCTCAGTCAAGCCACAAATCTTTCTATATCACTTCTTTATAGCCTTCCATGTTGCGATGGTGATCTATTTATTTTCACTTGTATTGTCGTAGGTTGCATTAACAGAGGGATAGAATCATGATCACCAGGGGTAGGATTCAATTTTTTTTAGTACCGGTTCTGTGGGCGAGGCTTGGTGGGTGTGGCTTGGTGGTGGTCATGTGACTGAATGGGAGTGGCCAATTCAATGTGAGTGACATCAAGTTGGCCATGCCCACTCAGTCACAAGATGCCCCCTCCACCAAGCCACAACCACAGAACTGGCAGAAAAGGCAGCTCCTGTGGCCTGTCCCTTTTGGTCCCCCCTCCCCACCACATCAAAGTACCTTAAAGGGACACCACAGTCCAGTTGCCTTCCAAGTAACTCCGCTGTGACGCTGTCCCTCTGGCACAGCAGACCATTCTCCTGGCCGGGTGTGGCAGTGGAGTGTGGCTGCGCACGCGCACTAGCAGGCAATAGGGGGCATATGCTTAGCTGGCGCAATGAACAGGGTGGTGATGGCAGCAACGGGAGTTCAGGCCTCTTTTTCGGCCTGTAGCTTTTGATAGTTTCTGGCTCAAGAAGCCTCCCAGCCACTGCCTCTTTGCCAGCTGGAAGCGAGCTGGCAGTGGCGGCTACAGGCTTCTTGCACCGCAAACCACTGACCTCTTCTTGAACGTGCCAAAAAAGAGCTTCAGTTCAGTCCTACCACTGTCACTGGCCACCCAGTTCTTCTGGCGTAGCAGTAGCAGGCAATGGGTTGTGCGTGCATGGCTGACACAAAGAATAGGGTGGCAACGGTGTCTAAAGCTCTTTTTTTGCATGAGCTGAAGTGTGAGCTCAGGTTTCTACCCTTTTCTACATATTTATTAACTATATGAATTCTTCCGGTTAATAAAAATAAATATATCAAATGGATTATAATAGCAAATCACATTGTTCTAATCACTTTTACTGAACCTCATCAAAGGACAATGATGACTTACATAAACATATAACAAGACCTTTTAGCTTTAGCCCGCAAATATTATTTAACACATGATTGCTTATTAATGACAGTTGCATTTGGGGGCTTCCAGAACACATGAACTTGTCTAATAACAGATTGGTGTTCAAGATCCACAGAGAACTGATTTTGTGGAAAGCCAGAAAACCAGAACCCAGAAAAGATGTTGGTGGTTCACTAGTTGAAGCACTGAATAAGCTGTCCTGGCAGCAGTTGCCAGAAATTCAGAAGCACTGCCAGATCTAGGCTCAGAAGAAAGTGAACCTGCTCAGAACAGATTGTGCACCAAATCTGACACTGATTGTCTTGTTGACCACCATAATTTCTTTCTTGCCTGGAATAAATTGTTACTTGGTAGTTCCCATCCACCCTAATTCCGTTTTGGATTGGCTCAAAATCGCCACAATTTCCCCAGACTCACAAGTAAAGGAAAATTCAGAGCCAGGAGATAAGCATATTGAAGATTTAAAACTCCAGATTCATTATTTTAATTAACAGAAAGAATAAGATGAGAAATGCTTGAATTCCAGAGACCAGAAGCAAGGAAAGGAACAGATGCCCCATATATCACTGTCTTCTTGCACTTGCTTGCTGTTGGATAAAAGCTACCACAAAATAATAATAAACACTATCCTCTAATGAATAAATAATCTTATCTGAAGGTTATCTGCAGTGGTGGGATTCAGCCAGTTCGGGCCGGTTCAAGCGAACCGGTTGTTAAATTGCTGGCTGGCTCCTCCCCTTCCTAGTCTGCCTGACCCTTTTAGGAGTCCCCACACACCCTGTTTTGGCCCCTAGGTAAGTGCAGGGAGGCCTACTAGTCCCAAAACAGGGTGTGGGAGGGTGCACACACACACCCCGACGGCCTGTTTTAGCTCCAAGGAGGCTGCAGGGAGGCCTACTAGGCCCAAAATGTGGTGCAGGGAGGTATGCTCCCCTGTAGCCTGTTTTTGCTCCCAGGGGGGTGGTGCAGGAGGCCGAGTGCTGCTTCTCACACCTTCTGGCCATGCCCACCATGGCCGTGCTTACTCAGCCGGTCATTAGGGCAGAGAACCAGTTGCTAAATTATTTGAATCCCACCACTGGTTATCGGAAATGGTATAGGATTTCCTGCTTGTAGTGGTTGGACTAGAATACCTCCAAGATCCCTTCCAACTCTGTTATTCTGTTATCTCTAATAGAAACTCTGAAATTACTACTAATGTTGATATGAAAACTTGTAAAGACTCACAGGACAAATATTGGCAAACACTGTATACCTTGTCTTGGAATGACATATCTATTAGATCAGCCATGGCTGCCTCAGTTCCAGATCTATAGTAGAAATCCAATTGCAAAGGGTTCAAGTAATCTCAGTTTAGATTTGTACTAACTTCTTTAGATTTCTTCCACTTGCTTGAGAGAGAAAGAGAGAGTGGTTACCATCTAGTGGGGCTTAAAGGTGTTTTTTCAAAAGGCAACTAGAGTTTGTTTTTCCTTGAAGACATTTTGTTTCTCATCCAAGAAGCTTCTCCAGTTCTACCATGAAATGAAGAAGCTTCTTGGATGAGAAACGAAACATCTCCAGGGAAAAACCC